CCCACTCTCGGCCTTGGGCGCCACAGCAGGCGACGTCGCCATGATTCGCTACGGGGTCGCCGGGCGTCGAGTGTGGCATGACCGCCTCGTCTTCGCTTGGCGACAGGGCCCCCGCGGGGCGTCGGCATCTTCACGCCCGACGGCGATGCTTACTCGGAGGTGCTGATCGGTGGTGCGGACATTGTGGCCTGTGTCCTGTGCGCTGGTGGTGCTGCAGGCGATGCGGTTGCAGAGATCGGCGCAGATGGCGAGTACCGCTTCAGGAGCATCCCCCTGGCCGCGACGGTGGCGCTGGCCCAGGCGGACGTCGAGGCTGCCCTCGGCTTGGCTCCAGGGGCGCCTGTGGTGCCGAACTTCGGCGGGCGGCCAATCGCTGCAGGAGTCCACGGTCTCGCCGTGGGAGCAGCGGCGCCGCCTGCCGGAGGAGCTGGAGGCGGGGTCGCGGGTTTGGCGCCCGCCATGGGTGGTGCTGGTGTCGGCGGAGGCTTGGCGGCCGGCTGGCCGCCCGCTGGGCCAGCGCCCGCGGCGGGCGCCCTGGCGGCGGCGGCGCCCGCAGCCGCTGGAGCTGCTGGCGGCCGCGGCCGCCTCCGCCGCGGTGGCCGGGCCGCCTCCCGCCGCGGTGGCCGCCGTCGCTGCGGCGCCTGGAGGCGATCCGCCCATCGTGGACGTGCAGAGTTCCAACAGGGGGGGCAGCTGGTCGAGGCCCCCTGCGGGGACTGGCCGATTGCAGGTCCGCGGACGCTGATGTGGGTCGCGCTTGTCGCCCACAGGGTCACTGGCACACCGCTGGCGTGGCATCAGGAGTTGCGGACTGATGGAGACCTGGGTGACGACGGGCCAGGGGTGAGCAACCATGAGTTCGTGTGCCGTGTGGTGCAGGTGGGTCTTCGCTGTGATCAGTTGCATAGTTCCAGCTTGCCCTTGACGGAGCTCGTAGCCAGAGCGATTCAGACCGAGAGCGAGCGGCATCGCCATCGTTTCGAGAGCGCTTCGGACTTCTGCAGCGCACGAGAACCTCACGCCTTGCTTTTCTCATGGACGTGGACATGTCTGCGTCTCGCCGTCTCTTCGGGACTCTGTACCACACCAACTGCAAGAAGGGCGCGGCCATTGCAAAGGAGAGACGGAAGGCCCGCGAGGAGAGAGCGCTCGCAGGCGGCGGCGGCGCCGGCGCAGAGGGAGGAGGCCTGGGCCGAAGCAGAAAGAAGAAGGAAGGCGGCGGGCGCGGTGTGTCCGCCGAGGACTCATGAACACATCGCTCGCGGGCGGCCTGGGGGACCGGCGGGCCGCTTTTCAGGATGCGAGCGCCGGCTTGGCAGCTGCGGTTTGCCTCGGAGCAGGAGGGCGCCAGCGTGACATTTTCCCTTTGCCACTTCTGGGAGCTGACGCCTCTTTGCCCTCTGCTTCGCGCAACCGCCGGCCACAGCGGCGGCAGGTCCTTCATGCTCATCATCGGCTTCGGCTCAATGAGGCCATTGCATCGCTGAGTTCACTTTACGGCTGCCGCAGTGCCGCTGACGCCCCTGTCAGCCAGTGCCAACGCGTGGCACTTGATAACTTGGACACCGCTCTTCGTCGTCTGAGTCGTCAGCCTGGAAGTTATTCCGAGACGCGTGAGTGCGAGGACGGAGCCCTCGAGGAGCTCCTCCGAGGTGTCTCGATCTACGGAGACTGCGCACCCAGCCCGTCAGCGCCGTTCAACCGTGGGCAGACTCAATGGCCTGCCTTAGCTGGTTGCCCAGTGGATGCGTCTACACTGGCCAGCAGTTTCGAGGGGACCGCGCGCAAAACTGGCGGAGCACCATGCTTCGACCTTCTCGTGGGGCCGAGGAGCTCGCGACGTCTGCGCGCCCGCGCGGGGCCCGCTGCGATCGGAAGCTCTTCGGTGATCCACGCGTTTACGCAGAGTTCCTGGGTGAGCTCTACGCCCGCGGGATGGTCGTCTTCTCCGCGTCGGTGGACATCGAGGGATCTGTGGCTTTTTCTTCGTGCCACAGAAGAACGGGAGCCAGCGCATAATTTGGGTGCGCGCATCGCGAGCTATTTCTTCCCTCGTCGCAACCGCCGACCTGGAGCGCGCCTTTCACCGCGCGCGGCTGCCCGATGGCACGGAGGGCGCCCGCTGGCGAGGGGGCAAGCGCGAAGTCCCCTCCTCGCACTGTCACCCTCCGCGCCGCCGGGTCGGCCAGCTCGACCGCGCCCCCGCCGACGCACGGAAGCCGCTGTCGCCCCTCGACTCCCGGGGGGCGCATCTGGCAGCGGCGACGCAGCATGGGGCCATTGGGCGCCCGCAGAGGGGCGCGGGAAGGGACGCGGCGGCTTGCATAGAGCCCCGCGCGACCAGGATCTGCGCAACGCGGCTCGCGCGCGCAGCCCTGCCAGCAGCAGGTGGATGAGCTGCAGCCCCAGCTGGAATGCCCGAGGTGACGGGCGCGCGCGCGTGGATCCAGCTGGTCAATTTCCACGCGGTGGGGGTGCGGATCCAAGCAGCAAGGCCAAGCAGCACGCGCGGACCCAGGTAGCAAAGCCACTGGGAGGCGGGCGCGAGTGGCGCGACATGGCAGCCAACCAACTCGCCCCAGCCGACCGCCGCACCCGCGGCGGCAGTCTGATAAACGAGACGCCCGCGCACCTGGAGGAAGCGCAGGGCGAGGCCGAAAGCAGCCGCGCCTTCATTAAAAGGCTGCAAGCCGAGCTCGGCGCCACATTCAACGAGGTCCGGCACCGCTGGGCTGAGCGACGCGAATTGCGCCCCGGGTTTTCTCCAAAAGACCCACGCGTGCAATCCCATGCCACCTGCGATGAATTCCAGGCTGCCCGGCGACAGAGCGGCCACGGCGCCCGCGCACTCGGCCGCCAACGCAGGCTCTACGCCAGCTTCGAGCACGCGCGCCAGAAGCACGCGACGAACGACTGGAGCAGCGCCGGGCGATCAGGCAAGGGACAAGACAGAGACGCCTCCGCGGTGCGCAGCGGCAAGCAAGGCAAGCGCAGCCGCGGCTGGGACGGACCCCTCGCAGACACGAGGCGCCGTCTGCAGCCCCCCCTGCCACTTTCCACCGCGCTTTCCATTTTGCGTTCTACCTGGGGTATTATGTCCCCGCTTCTTTCTTGCATTTGCAGCGACCAGCTGCCTTCACCTCCTCCCTTCTCCTCCTCGCCTGGGGTCATCCTGCAGCCGCTTCTTCGCTGCCTGCCCGCAGCAGAGGAGTCGTCGAAGTATTTGCAGCGAGCTGCCGGTCCTTCCGCGGGCATTCGTCTGCCGAGGCTTCCAGGGCACTTGCAGCGATCAGCTGCCGGTCCTCCCCCTCGTGGTCTACGCATTGCGGCGTTCAGACCCCTCTCGCGCGTCCTGGCCTGTGGAGCCGTCTGGCAGGCCTCATATGAACTGTTGGGCCCATTGCTGGATCTGGCTGCCGGCCGGCGCGGCACCAGCTCCTTCGGGGCTTCCCCGTTCGTTCATTCTCACCGCGCGATGGCCGCAAGGGTTCGCGTCGGCTGGGTTTGGACGGGCGCGCCCCCGACACCGCCAGGGCAGCCTTTCGTTCAAGGCGCTCGTGATATCCCTGGCAAAATACTTGCGGGCGTCGGCTGCGTAATTAGTTGGCCGCCCGCTGCTCCGCCCTCGGGCTACCCGTTGGGTGGCGCTCCCTTGCGCGGCCCCGTCGCGCCGGTCAGTCCACTGCCTCAGGGTCCGTGCGCGCGGGGCGCTCGGGCGGCAGGTCGCGTCGCTTGACCTCGTGTCCTACCTGCGCGGCAAGTTTTGAGTTCGTCGCTTCCAATTTCCTGGGTAAGTGCGGCGTCCGCCTCTCCTCCGCTTGCATGGTCTGCTTGTTCGACGCGGTTGCCTGGGGCGGGCCTCTCGTTATAGCCTTTCTGGTGCTGCTGGCCCAGCCATCGCCGCTCTGGGACCTTCTCGGTTCCACGCCGGCCACTTCGTCGTTCTGGTGCAGTCCTGCCTCTTCCGCGCCATTTTGTCTGCGCTGCGTTCCCCCTCGCCCTGACGTGTTCGCGTTCGGCACGGTTTTCCCGTGAAGTGCTACCTGTGCGGCAATTTCGTGGCTCTGGTTCCGCCTTCACCCTTCCAGCTGCGTGACCTACGAATTCGGCACGGTTTCCTCTCCGCCTGGGGTACGGATGGGCCTTGCCACGGCATCCTGGAGGTGCGCGGTCCCACGTCTTGCCGTTTCCGGTGACGCTTGCTCTTCGTCCCTCCCGGCACCTACTCCGCGGTCCTGGTGCGGCTCCTCCGCATCCGCCTTTCGGCCGCCCCTGAGTTCCGCCTGTCCCGGCCTGCTCGTTGTTTATTTTTCGCGCGTGGCATAGCCTGCCCCTGCAGGCCCGGCGTCCGACGTGATTCGCGCGCCTGCGTACCCGAGAAGGTATCCCCACCAACCCGCTCGGAACCCAGCCCATGAGAGCTGACGGGGGGAAAGGGCGCAGGGGGACACTTAATCAGTGAAACAAAGCGGGCAACCAGGATGAGCAGAGAGATCTTTGAGAGCAAGGGGGTGGCATTGGATGGCCTCATCGGGCCATCCAGGGACCCACCCCACTTTGATCGATGGCCTCCAAAATGGCCTCAAGAGGCCCTCCAGGGCCCCCAAGGGACCCCCAAGCGGGCCCCAATACGCCCCAAAAGGCAGTATGCCTCCTCTTTCTCCTTGTCGTCGTCGTCGTCGTCCTCCTCCTCCTCCTCCTCCTCCTCCTCCTCCTCCTCCTCCTCCTCCTCCTCCTCCTCCCCCTTCTCCTCCTCCCCCCTGTCCTCCCCCCTTGGGCGCGCCGCCGATCCGAAGCGGCGGCAGGTGTCGTCGTCGTCGTCGTCGTCGTCGTCGTCGTCGTCGTCGTCGTCGTCGTCGTCGTCGTCGTCGTCGTCGTCGTCGTTGTCGGTCGTCGGTCGTCGGTCGTCGATCGTCGGTCGTCGGTCGTCGGTCGTCGTCGTCGTCGTCGTCGGTCGTCGTCGTCGTCGTCGTCGTCGTCGTCGTCGCCGCGCCCGCAAGGCCGGCCTGCCAAGGCCGCGGAGGGGCGGGCACGGCGAGGCGTCGCTCGCGCTGGTGGGCCACTCTGGGCTGGTGTCCGCGTGCGCGTGGAGGGGCGAGGCCCGGGGGGGTGGCGGGCCCTCCTCGGGGGTGGGGTCCTGATCCTGCTCCTCCTCGTCCTCCTCCTCCTTCTCCTCGTCCTCGTCCTCCTCGTCCTCCTCTCCTCGCGCTGAAGTCCCAGGAATACGTAGTGTTCTGGCACATTCAGGATTTCGCACTGTTGCTTTCCAGCGGGGCACCTTCTTCAGTAAAAATGGATCCTTGTAGGGGCCTATGGACAGGGAGTTTGGAGGGAGGGTTAATTGCAACGTCGTTGATGGGTCTTGGGTTTACGCTGGTCCTCCGCCTCGTCCTCCTCCTCCCTCTCTCCCTCCTCCCCCCCTCCCCCCGTGCCTGTCCTCTGCGCGCCAAGGTGATCGCCTTCGCCAAGCGGCGGACCCACGAGATCAGGGGGGAGGGCCAGATTCAGAGGAGGAAAAGGTATCGAGGCCGCTGCTCGTCCTGGAGAGCCCTCGTCGCCACGGCTGGATTATCCTCGGAATCCTGGTCAGAACGCACCCTGGCAGAGATCTGGGGGGGAGCGATCTTGGTACCTTTTCGTCCCTCCAAAGGCCCCTCGCGTCGTGAAAAGAGAAACGGCGGGGGCTTGTTCGTTATTTTTGATTACCAGGGTCCCTTAGTGGGCCTCGGGGCTGTCAAGGAACGATTCAGGATGAAAAGCTGATCCCCGTGAAGGGGTCCAGACTTCAGGGGGGGCCACGCATGCAACAAATCATGCCGTCGGGGGTCTGGGGATCTGCTTGGGTCGGACAAGAGTCGGAGGCGTCCAAGAAGAGGGATGAGGACGATTTAGGGGGGGTACACCCGTCAGATATCCAAATAATTAAATCAAGCCTCATGTATTCCATATTCCGCTTCAGAGAATCAAGAATCTGGACTAGACCCTGGGCGTTTTCTGTGAGCGCTTTTTGCTCGTAGAACTTTCGTGCGCGTGGACCTGGACTACTGTTTAAGAAAACGCCAGGGGAGGCGTTTTGTTTCCTAGCTTAGAATGTTGATAATTCTAAGCAGGGGTGTAAGTGTCATGGCCGGGGCCATGGTGTCTCCCAGATCTCGTGGCTCCCTCAACTCTCGACACATTTCGTGCCCCCCCTCGTCCGCGCACGTGCCTGCGCACATTCCCTCCTCCTCCCTCCTCCTTGCGTCCTCTCTCGGCGCACCCCACAACAGTGGTGGGCAACTCTGAAATGGGGGGCTCAAAGGATATATGCATAGCGAGTATAGCGAGTATGGCGAGCGTGCCGCCGGCGGCTGGCTCAAGGTGCCGGCGCCCGATTTGCCTGGACCGCTCGGTGATCCAGCGGCCCACTATCGTGCCTAAAACAAGACTTGATCAGTCTTCAGGATGGCACACCATCTTACACCAATCCCAAACATCTTACTACGTGGTCCTCATCCTTTTTTCCCAACCATCCTGTAGTGTTGGGTCCTCGTTTTGACGAGACAGCGCCCCGCGTCCCACCTCTTCCTCCTTCCTCCTCCTCCCCCTCCCCCCTCCTCCCCACCCCCCCTCCTCCTTCTTCCCCCTCCTTGCTTTGTTTCGTAGCCCCATAGGGAGCTCCACTGAAGGCCCCAGTGGGGGTGCCCGCATGCGGTTCCCCCACCCAGGGCAGCGTTTCGTGGCCCCACAGGGAGCTCCACCGCAGGCCCCAGTGGAGGTGTCCGCATGCGGTTTCCCTACCCAGGGCAGCGTTTCTTGGCCCCACAGGGAGCTCCACCGTCGGCACCAGTGGGGGTGCCCGCATGCGGTTCCCCCACCCAGCGCAGCGCTTCGTAGTCCCATGGGAGCTCCACCGGAGGCCCCAGTGGGGGTGCCCGCATGCGGTTCCCCCACCCAGGGCAGCGCTTCGTGGCCCCATAGGGAGCTCCACCAAAGGCCCCAATGGGGGTGCCCGCATGCTGTTCCCCCGCCCAGGGCAGCGTTCCCCCACCCAGGGCAGCGTTTCGTGGCCCCACAGGGAGCTCCACCGTAGGCCCCAGTGGGGGTGCCCGCATGCGGTTCCCCCACCCAGGGCAGCGCTTCGTGGCCCCACAGGGAGCTCCACCGAGGGCCCCAGTGGGGGTGCCCGCATGCGGTTCCCCACCACCACCACTGTGGCAGGCCCCTCACACAGTTCGTGGCCCCATAAGGAGCTCCACCGAGGACTATATTCACAACTGCGGTACTCACAACTGCATATGGTTGGGTCCTTCGCCAGGCTACTTACTTGGTAGCGGCGCTGGCCCAGTAAGTTGTGGTCAGCACTATCGCAATACGTATCCACGGCACGGCTTGGTATGCCGCCGACACCGCTGCGACGTCAGAGCGTGACTACTGGCAAGCAGGCGGACACGCCTTTAGCGGACACGCTTTTTCCACTATGGGGCACATCCGCCTGGCCATTCCTAAGAGCGTATACGCCCTGGCTTTACGCCACTTTGCTCCAACTTACGACGAACTTGGAAACAAGTTAAGACACCAAGATTCCGCTACGCGGAAGCGCGAACCCCAGACCCTTGAACCAACATGGGGACACACCTCCACAGCCAATTCGCCTCCTAACGGCGATAGACACACCGAAGACCACCAACAACAACGTCAAAGACGTTTTGTTGAATTCCGGTTGAAGGTCTGTTATTTTCAGCCTTCTTTGGTTGGCCACCGGGAGTGCTATAGGATATATGCAACGTTGTGGCCATTACGATGGAGGCGACAATACTACAAAGGGGCCCATACTGGGACCCCTCAGGGAACTTATGGCTCCTCGAATTTACTCATGAAGTACATGCGTGGTTGAATGTCGCGAGCGCCCGCATGACCCGCCAACGACACGCTGCATGCCTGCAGCGTGGTCTGGGCGGGGTAGCACGCACCATGGCGATGCGAATCCCTCCCCAGATCATGAACTACGGCGTGGCAATACAAGGCGCCCATACTGACCCCGTCACGTACATGACGTTTCTCCTGAGCGCCAATTTCGAAAATTTCGAGGATGGCTACAGACGCCACTCAATCCTGAATCCCAGCCCGTGCCTCAGAACTCGGACCTGCAGGGGCAGGGTTCATGTGAGCGGCGTTCAAGAACGGGGTCGGCTACGCCGACGCTGGCGCGAGACAGACGTCACGCGAACGGTGGCGCGCAAGCACCCTCGTTTCCAATGTAGCATTCCGCGCTGGCGGCCTGCGTAAGCCACCGTGTCAGGTGGGCGTAAGGCCAGTTTGTTTCATCGCTTATGTGGTTCGCTACCTGTCCTTGCTCCCCCACGCCCGCAGGCGGGCCAGAACACGGTGTCCGTCCTGCCGCGGCCCCGGCGCGCGCGCAAGACAGCCTTCCTCTATCGCGCCGACCGGCCGCGCGCACCGCGGCTCTCGGCGGCCCTCGGCCCAGGGGCAGCGCTGGTGGTGGGGGGGGAAGGCTCGAGGCTTTCGGGTTCGAGGCTCGCTGTTCGAGGTTTTCGGGCGTAGTCGTTTCTCGTCGGCTTTCCAGCCTCGGAGTGCCCTCCAGAGGCTGCAGTTCGCCGAGAGCGTTCCAGAGGTGAGCAGCTGTCCCGAGCGACCGCCAGAGGCCCGAGTTATGGCCTGAAACTCATTGGGGACGGGGGTCGGCTCAGGGGGGAACGTATCGCCCCCCAAACGCCCAATCATCGCCGATAGGGTCCGGATAGCCCACCCAGCTCAGGAGCGTGCGGATTTGCCATCGGGGGCCTATCGCTGATCAATCGGCGATTCCCCCCCCTCCCCCTCAGCCAGTCCACTCCTATCGTTCGCCTTCATCGGCGGCCCCTCGGCTGGCAATCGACGGCCCTCGACGGCCCCTCGGCGGCCAATCGGCGGCCAATCGGCGGCCCTCGGCGGCCCCTCGGCGCCCTCGGCGGCCCTCGGCCGCATTTTTTGGGGGGGAGGGTATATCCCGCGAGGGCACGGCAGCCATCGGCGGTCTCCACGCGGCTTGCGGTTGAGGGGGGGAGCCGCCCCGGCCCGCATTATGTGGCGTTTGCTGACCAGTCCCGGGCGCTGACCACACAGTCCTGGCCTGCTCGGCCCCTTCCCTGACATCTTCTCGTCGTGAGAGATCGCGACGGGATGTGAGTGTTTTTGTTGGCAATTTTCGGCCACGGGGGGTCCTCCTCGGGCTGCGGGACCAGGTACCAGCCATCTGCAGTTGTGAGCACTGCACTTGCAGGTATCGCCTTCGGGGGATCTCCTCATGGGGCCATGAAGCACGCGAAGGGTGTGCCGAGATGGGGCGGGGCCGCCATGTGGGCGCTGCCACTGAGGCCTCAAGGCGGAACCCACTATGGGGCCGCGAATCGTTTGAGGGGTGCGCCGCAACGGGGCGGCCCACTCATCGCCGACGGTGGCCCGACAGCCTGCCCCGCTCAGGAACACGTGCGGACTCGCTTTCGGGGGCCCATCGCCGATCTGTCGGCGGCGCATCGCCGACTGCAGCTCGATGTTTCTCCCCTCTGCGCAGGTCCCTCCTATCACTCCTATCGCTTCCCCTCATTCTTTTCGAGGTTCCGGATGCGCAGACAGCCTCTGACATGGTTTTTCAATCCTTGGACCCAGTCCCCGACCCCTTCCCTGAGATCCTGGCGTCACTCTTTTTTCGCGCAGGGCGTTTTCGCTCTATTCTGGGCCCTGGGGTCCTTGCAGATTGATCCGGCTCGAAGAATGCAACAGAACAATGAGAAGTGCTCGAGACGCGATTTTTGCGATGCTGCATTTCGCTCGCAACGTCGGGCCTCAGGACTAGAGCTCCCGACCCCTTCCCCGGATCCCAGCTTTTCTCCCAGGTTCATGTTGGGTGGTCCGGGGGCTCGATAGCGGGTCCCAGAGGCACATCGGGAGCGGCCAAGAGGGAGGTGATGACTATATTAGGTGTGTTGAGTGTGTGTATGTGTTGTTGTGTGGATATCACGGCGGGGGCCATGATATCTCCCAGATCTCATGGCCTCCGATTCGTATTCAATGCGTCCCCTGGCTCTCCCTGGGCCGCGCACATGCCTCGGGTCATGATTTCCGCACCCCCCTCTTGGACGCCCCCCTCTTGGACGCCCTCCAGCCCCAAAAGTCGAGGATGCACTGCTGGTTGAAAAGATCCTATCGCCAGAGATCTGGAGGTGTCTGGGCTGCGGCGGTCGGCCGCTCAGGTCGGGCTCGTGGGACCAGACCGTCAAGTTGTTCACGGTGGACCTGGCCAAGCTGTGACGGGCTCTGGCCGTCCAGGCCATCAGGCAGCATCGAATCGGTCAGTCGGGTCGACTCGACATGTGTATCGGATCGGGCTGCATCGGCACGGAAACGAAATCGACTCGGAGCGGCTGCACCAGGATGCACAACAGCGCCATGCAAGCATCGGGCTGCATCGGATCATTGGAAGTTCGGAATCGAATCGGATCGGGCCAGCCAGAGTCGACATCGAGTCGGATCGATCAGATCGACATGGACCCTGAGCGGCCCTGAGCAGGCCCCCCACAGGCACCTACGACGCCCGAAGAGTCCTGAAGACTGACAGCGGCTGGCTCCGACCCCGCGCGCGGCAGAGCCGGCCACGAACGCGCCCTGCATGCGCTTCAGACAGCCAACTCCGAAAGCCATCTGTCGGGCATCCGTTTCTCTTTTTGGTCAGGCCTCGGATTCCACATGGACAGCCGCTCAGGTAGTCCCGGCTGGCCTCAACAGGCCCCCGGGGAAGCCTCAGCTGGCCTCAACAGGCCTCCTGAGTAGTAGGCCGGGGCGGTCTCATCACCGTGGCGCCGCATCCGGCGGCGCCCTTTGGGGCGCCGCGCCCCAGGATTGGGGTATTGAGACCGCGCCAGACTACCCGAGGGGCCTGTTGAGGCCTGCTGGGACCACTCGTGGAGCCTGTTGAGGCCAGCCGGGACTGCCTGCGGGGGCTGTCTGTGCGCAACCTGAAGTTGCACGATGTGTTACATCTTTCAACCAGTGGCGAAGCGTTCTGGGCTGCCCATAGGGCCGCCCAAGACTTGTCCGATTTTGTTTGGTGGTTTGTACGAAACGTCCTTGGAGCATTGATGACTGAGACAGTTCTGCTTGAATGCATCGGATTCACGTTCGTAGAACATTGTTTTGCTCTTAGAACATGCTCCTGTGCTAGGAACATCTTGTCGTAGGCATTCAAGAACGCCGGCTCTGTCGGCCCCTGCTCAGATCTCATTTGGAAGTTTGCGTTCGCACCAGCGCTGTCTCGGAATGCTTAAGAATGGCTCATTCCCAGACGGCGCTGGCGCGAGTCGTGACGTGACCATGGGAGTGGGCGGAGCCGGTCACGGGCACGATCACGATTTATAAAAATGGGGTGTAGTGGAGGATAGCTCGGCTCGGAGTGGGGGCGGACACCGAGCTGGACTCGGCGATTGGTAATTCGTCGATCGCAACTCCGCACGTTCCTGGGCGGAGCGGGCTATCAGGACTCAGGACCCTGTCGGCGATGTGTTGTCGGTTCCAGCTCGATGCTTCCCCTCTATAAGCTTGTGCCCCCCCCACCGTTGCGGCTCACGTCTCCGAAAAGTCAGGATGGCAGTTTCTGGTCGCCTTCTGCCTCTGGGGGCCCTCGCGGGGCCCTGGAGGCAGTCAACTTATTTGGTTCGGCTCGGGAAGCGGGCCGCGGGGAAACGGTCGAGACTTCGGAGAACCAGGCACTTCAGAGATCAGGACGCCGGCTATCGGGCAGAAGGGGCCGAGCCCAGGGCCACAGAACCCGCTTCTCTTGGGACCCCTTCTCGTCGCGCAGGCTGATTCTCGGGGGCGGGCCCGAGCCCAAGTTACAGCAGGTGCATCAAATAAGAAACCACTCTGTCAGCAGGTGCCCCACGGACATTTACGACCCCCGATGGCCCCGGGGGCCCGCAGGAGCCCTGGGGCACCCTAGGACCCTCAGATCTCGTTGAAGAACGTGCCTCAAGGCCTCTTGCAATAGGATGTCTTATCGTATGGGCTTACTGTACTTTAACTTTCAGGGGCAACGATTGGGGGGATGGGCTCAAGGGGGGATGCATCGACCCCCAATCGCCCATTGGTCACCGAGAGGGGTCTGATGGCTCCACCCCCCCCCCCCAAGGAACGTGCGGAGCCGCTATCGGGGGCCCATCGCCGATCTATCGGCGATGCATTGCAGATTCCAGGTCGATGTCTCCCTCCCCCCTTTGCGAGTCCCCCCCCCCCCCGTTGCCCCTCAAGCTTGGTCCAAGTTACTTGGAGGCGGCTGGGGGAGCTGAGCTCGTTGAGCCCGGGAAAATTCGTCAAAACGCGGGTATGAAGGCAGATCTGGTCAACATCGGCCCCCGGACCCCGGACCCCTCCCAGCGTCCACCTGGCGCAGTGTTTCGCTCCGGATCCGTTTTTTACACTCCTGGCGCCCGAAAACGGCCCCCAGATACCAAAAATGGTGAGAAACCTTTCGAACCCAGCGCCTCAAGCTGCTGCCCCCTTTCTGCTGACGGGAACCAGTGCTCGGTCACCTCAAGCCTCAGACCCCCAACCGATTCCCAACTCAGTCAACCGCCCTCCGACCGCATACTTCTACCAAGTTGGGCGGCCCAGCCTCCGCCCCGCCCCGTTTCTCCGTGCACATCTCGCGCTCATACGCGGCCCAGCTGCCACTGCCAGCGCGATGCGATCAATCCCACCGCCTCAGTCCAACGAAGGAGTCGACCAGGTTATTCCAAGACGACGGGCACCGAAGGGACTTGGAGCTGGCTGGAGCTCTGAGGTGGCCCAGCACTGGTCCCGACCAGCCAGAAGGGGGAGCGATGTTGGAGGTGTTGGGTTCGAGCAGGTTTTTTGTTTTTTTCTGTCTCCCGGGGCCGTTTTCCGGCCTTGGGACCGTCAAACGGATTTGGGTTGACAATCTGCACCAGATGGACCCAGTAGGGGTCCGTGGGCGGATTTTGAGCGGATTTACCTGTACCCCCCCGTCTTGAGAAGTTTTCTCGGGGCCCAGTTCATACGATGTTGAAGAGCATAGTTTTGGTGGCGGCGTGGACTGCACAGCTGGTGCGGTGTGCTATGAGGCCAATCGATAAGCAACGGTTGAGGACTTGTGGCGGCAACCTCTGGACTTCCTCCAAAACATATAACACACTGTCGCCATAGTTCCGAGAATGCTAATCGAATTGCTCGATGGCGAATCGAAGTCCTAGGGATAACTCCGTTCACACTGGCGTGGCGCACTGGCGTGGCACACTGGCGTGGCGCGCCGGCGCGAAATACCATCGTGGCAAAGTGGCCTTCGATAGAAGCGTGGCGCGTTGCAGAGACGAGTTTGTGTGAAGTACATATTCACATAGCAAAGAAACATCGGGCACCCAGACAACGCTGTAGCACTAAAGGGTTTAAGAAAGGGGGCGCCCAGAACGCTTAGCAGAACTCTTGAATGTGTGTTTAGCGATGTTGCCTTCACAGAGAAGTATTGCCGCACTCGTCCCTGCAATTTGCGGCGCGAGAACACGCAAGTGCGACACGTTCAAGCGCCACGATAGTTCTCAACGCTAAACGAACAAGTAAGCGCACTAGGACGAAATAGACGACATACGTAGTCGTTGGGGCGTGTTCCCGCGCTTGCCAAGCTGAGACGCCACGCTGATATGCCATGCGAGTTTGCCGCGATTGTGTGCAGTTTTGGTACGCCACGCTGAAAGACCACAACAGCATGAAATGTGCCACGCGAATCTACCACGTTGACGCGCGCCACAACCATGCGTCATGCGAACATTATATGGGAACGCTGCGCACGTACAGCCCACAGAGCAACACACACAAACACGCACACACACACACAACACACACACACATATACACAAACGCACTGTTTGGTGCAGCGGCCCCTCGCGCAGCGACGAGCTGAAGAAAGCCAGGCCGAGATAGAGAGAGAGAGAGAGAGAGCGAGAGCGCGCGGCTGGCCCCTCAGAAGCTGGGACAGGTATCCACTCATGGATAACCGTGCAATCCGTATACCCGGGCGTGGGCAGCAAAGGGGGGAATGGACGAGGATACGGAAGACACACACATACACACTTACAGCGAATTGTCGACATTAGGTTCTTTGTGAGATATCGGCAGGGCGAGGCTATGGATATGATGGCCAGTTTGCCATGATTCGACTCGAAATTTGATTGAGGAAAGATTGATGTATTATCCGATAGTGTGATACGTGTATGTAAAAGAAGACATATCCAGTAAACTAATTGAGTTGACCAGACGCGTGGACGTGGAGTCATTGCAATTCCGAGTTTGAGAGGTTTTCAGTGCTTTACCGCTGAGGGGCCCTTTCTTCGTTGTGCCAGACCCATGAGCAATCATAACGAACGGAATCAGGAGCTGGTGCACACCAGCATCGCATGCAAATTTGATTTGATCCCAGTGTCCTCATCCGAACCATTGCGAGTAAGAGTTATATAGATCTAGAGTTCGTCACGCCAGCACTGATTATGTTGACTCTCTTCTCGTCGCTCCCTGCTACTCGACTTGCAGTTGCGCGAAGAGCAGCTTTAGCTTTGCCGGCAGGAAATTTAAGCCAGCGGCTCTTGTACATTCAGGGCGGTCGTTATTGCGTTCGCCCATTGTTATTTTGCCAGGGTAAGCGAGTGGGCATAGGGCCGATTCATAAGGATCATTTGTATCGATCAACGTTGGGAGCCATATTGGTGCCTTGACGACGGACCGCGTGTGCCACGTCGCCTTGACGAGATTCAAAGTATTGCTTCGGGAAGGTTCAGAGGAGCACAAACTCATGAAACTAATCCGTAAGGGCTTCGCCCCCTGCCGCCGGCCCCCTCTCTCGGAGAATGGGCCATGGAAGAGCTAAGTCATGAGGCCTTGGCGCTGTCGTGAAGCAGTATCGAAACTTCATGCGAAGCCGAGTCGCAATCAGCAAAACCAACTGATCACAAGAGGGGTTACCACACCTGGCGATTGGTAAGACGTGTATGGTTTAAGGGCTTGGTTGCCACACCTTGCGATTAAAGGGCCGAGGGAGTTCTCGCAGTTTGGGTTACCACGCCTTGCGATGGATGTGCGTGATGGGTTCGAATTTCAGAAATGTGGCAAATCCCCTGTGTTTTTGGACCCTGACCCCGCGGATCTGCGTAGGGGTGGCGCCGAATTTCAAAAATGTGGCAAATCCCCGTGTTTTTGGACCCTGACCCCGCGGATCTGCGTGAGGGGTGGCACCGAATTTCAGAAATGTG